AAATTGTTATTGAATATGTTAATGCTGATGTAATAAAATGCTTCTTCTAAGTATGTGGTTATTAAATAAATAATTTTTAAAAACCCTAAGGTTTTTAAATCCATGAGGCATCATGGGTTTTTTTAACAGCAAATGCCATGACGCCAGCAAGTTCACCAATAATTAACCTGATAGTGCTGAGCAGAACAAATTTTTGAGGTTCATAGTTAAAAAGAGAAAGAAGCACAATGAAAGACTAATGGAGCACTGAAGGGCGGCCTGCACACAGCTTCCCCAAGTCCACACTCTTGCTTGCTTCCCATTTCAAAGGCCATCTCCTTTTCAACTGCTTTTGCTAATCCCCTGTCCCCATTCTTTCCACGTTGGATGTCTATGTTTACTCAGTCTTCAGACTTCTCTATGTCTGCACTCATTTCCTTAGTGATACCATGTAGTCTGAATTATCACATGCTATTCTCAGGTCTTTCTCCTGTCTGGATCTCTCTCCCAAACTCTGGAGGCATATATTACCTCAACATGCCCCAAACTGAGCTTCTAGTTCTCCCTTGCTCCCAACAATACACCACACATCCTTACTCAATTCAAATGGTGTCAACTCTATCCTCCAATTGATTAATACATTGTGCCATCATTTTTCTTCCACTATATTATTTCTGTTAGGAATTCCCATTACCTCCTTCTTCAGAACATACACAGGACCTGATCACTTGTCATCACATTGACTCCTGGACAAGCCCTTTCCATCTCTTACTAGACTGCAGCAGATGATAGTCCTTCCTCTCTACTCTTTTTGTCTGTTAAAGTTTAGCGGCCAGATGAACTCTTGAAAAATTGGAGTCACATTATGATACAGCAAGAATCAAAACCATCCAGGAGCACCCTGTGGTGGTCTGAATGAAAGTGAAAATGTCCCCCATAAGCTCCAAGTATTTGGACATTTGGTTCCCAGTTAGTAGCACTGTTTGTGGAGGGTCATGGAACCTTTAAGAGGTTCCATGCTAGAGGAAGCACCTCCCTGGGGGCAGGCGTTGAAGCCCTTAAGCCTTGTCAGATCTCCAGTCTCTCTGCTTCCTATGCCTGCTTGAAGATGATAACGCTTGACTTCCTGCTCTGGCCACCTCCTGCCACCATGCCTCCTTTATCATTATTGATTCTCCCCTGGAACTGTAAGCCAAATAAATTCTTCCTTCTATAAGTTGTCTCGGCCATGGTGTCTTATCACAGAAACAGAAAAGTAATTAATACACTGCCCATTTCAGTCAAGGCAAAAGACCAAGTCTTTATGGCCTGAAATTCACTGCCATGATTTGCCTGCCCCCACCCCTTCTTACCCTGAAAACTTCCTCTGCTCTCTTTGGGTCCTGATTCTCCAACCATAATGGCCTCCCTCCTATGTATCAAGCTTAGGGCTGAAAATCTTAGGGTTCCTGTTGCAAGCATGCCTTCAGAATGACCGCCCCTCAACTCCTTCAGGTCTCTGCTCAAATCTCACCCTCCCTGAGCATCCTGTTGAATATTGCCATCTACCTGCCATTCCCCCTCACCTACTCATCTGACATCTAGTCTATTTATTCACTGTTCTTGTTGCTTATTACCTATTCCTACATTGTGTTCTGTTCACTTGCTGAAAACAAGAGGTGTGAGCCATGGGCCACCAGCATGACCTAGAAACTAGTTAGAAATGAAAATTTCTTGGTTCTTACCCAAGCCTAGTGAATCATGAGCTCTGGTAGTAGGATCCAGCACCTTCTATAACAGCACTCCAAATCACAGTTTTACACACTCAAGTTTTAATCACTACTCTGGAGTACCTGGGGTAGATTAGGTATTCAAAATGTTATGTTTGTTAAAATTAAAAATCTTCCTTTTCTGATAAATTTCTCTCTCCTTCTGGAGAGAGTAAAACAAGCCCAGGGTGAATACCTAGAAAAGTGCCATTTTCCCTCTAAAACTAGTCAGTCTTTAGAGAAAGTAAAAGAAAACAGATATACAGAGAGAATCAAAGGTACAAAACCTAGAGTTGCCACGACCCCACAGCTTGCCACAGGCCACCCGCCTGCCTTACCTCCAAGGAAGTCAGGGCCCCTTAGCTGTAATCAGGATCTTAACTGAAACTATGCAAACAAGAGTCACCACTGTGGTGATAAGATGAGTGAAAAAGACACATCACAGGGAGGCAAGATGGGGTGGCATAAAACTTGATACAAAATAGACACTAACTGAATAAACAGATGAGCAGAGTAATAATATTCCATTAGAAGATGAAGGAGAAAAGAAGATCTGGAATGTCTTAAAGAAGAATGATTATTTTTATCCACTGTCTGCTTTCCTTTCTGTTGCTATGATAAAACACTCTGAGCAAAAACACCTTAGGGAAAGAAAGGGTGTATTTCACCTTATGCTTCACAGTCTATCCCTGAGGGAAGCAGAAACCATGGAGGAATGCTGCTCGCTGGCCCCCGCTCTGACTCTTAGCTAACTTTTCTATACAGCCCAGGACCATCTGCCAAGTACATGGAGCTGCCCGCAGTAACCTGGGCCCTCCCTTTAAATCTTAATTTAAAGATTAAGACAATCCCTTACAGACATGTCCACAGACCAACCTGATAGAGACAATTACTCAACTGAAATTCTTTTCAGGTGAT